TATTTATCTAATGCTTATGTGCACAATATATAGGTACGCCCGTTCTTTGATACACATTATTAGAACTCCACGCAGACACTATACATATTATACGTTTATGTGGTAGGTAGATATTAAAAGAGTATCGTGATTTTTAATTTTGATACCAGTTCAGAACAGGTCAAAAGGGATACCGCGGTTACAAGTGTTACAACAATCGATCGCATTTCTCCGAGCCATACGGTGGTGCATAATAATATTCTCATCGTATATATTTGTGTGATATGGTAGTGAACAGATCACAATATGTAAACACTTGAAAAATATATATGATATTATACACACATATATGGGGTATTGCCTATATAATGTAATTTTACCGTTGTTTATTGCTATTGCACTCTAAAAATATATTATACACAATACACGCCCGCTTATTAAATTCACCAGTGGTTGAATATATTATGGTTTAATATGTTACCCGGTAACCGTGGTATGCGCTGTAATAATATGTATTTAACCACGTATTTAAATACATATCGTAAGGCGGGTATATAATGTAGGTTACCGCAAGGACATTATTTGCTGCTTACTCGCAAAGGTCATCGCTTTGATGGATTTAAAGACGTGCTATATAATATCTATAAAGGACGTGCTGGCAGCAAATTTTGGTGACGTGTACATTTTTTTTAAAATTTGGAATTATTAATATTATTGAGAGTCCTTCACAGGTTTTTAGCTGTGTTTGTGGAGTTCGAATACGAAATCCCATTCGTACCTATACGTTGAAATATTATTTGATTTATCAAAGACACTATTCATAGACTAAAATAGGAATTTAGAGCTTAAGGAAAATTGGCCTTTCCTGAACCATCTTAAGCCATTTTCAATAATATATTTATTTATTCAAATCAATCTTTAATATTTAGCTTTATTTATTTAACAACTATATCTATTTATCATTTTTTATTTGAGATGATTGTTTTATATTATATTGTGACAATGTTAACAATTTGCTAAGAATTAGATAGGTTTTTTTGGGTGCGTTAGGACAAAAGCACCTCACTTTTTTTTCTTTTTGTTCCTATAAACGTTTGAACTCAGATTATAATACTCAAACGATATACAGCTGCAGAACTTATTATGTAAAAAAAAACCTACATATATACATGATACACACATCACACACGAGTACCTACACGACACAGAAAACGCACTAACTAATAAGCATCAACGCGTAGAGCATCTGAGACGTTTGAGAATGAGATTTCAAGCTTGCTGTATTACAAACGAATATAAATATATAAATTTATGATACGTATGTTCTATAGCAATTCCATTGTTAAAGACCATCGCATCACAGACAAATAAGTATTTAAGTACCTACTTGTAAAATAGTAATTATCATTAGTTAGGAACCTAATTATATTGTGATCAGTGCAGTGAATACTTAAACTATCTGACTGCTGCAGTAGGATAATATTATATACATATATACTCTTTATATTTTTTAAACATATACGCGATTTAAACAAACAACGACGCGCATTATAGCATTATGTATATCAACAAAAAGAAATCCTCCCCCCCCCCATCGTAACAAGCCCGTCAAGTCCGGCCACCTGCTCGCTGCGGAAACTTACCTATGGTCGATATGTACGTGTCGTAATACGTCTCGTCGCAGAACCTGTGCATCAGACACGTTTTGCCGACGTTCGAGTCGCCCAGCACGAGCACCTTGTACGATTCGCCGGCGTTCATGTCACGGCATAGCCCTCGAGACACACACTGATCGTCGGCGGAGGAGCATCGGCAATAGTGGCGTGTGTGTACACGTCGCCGTCCCTATTATTTGCGCCGTCGGTCGTCGCAATCGTATTCGATTATCGTTTACGGTTAGACACGGCAGACATCGATGTCTCGGCACAGTGTATATTATATTATAATGTACTATATAATAGGTAGGGGTTACATTATCGAGGTGTATACTCGGAGAAAAAGCTCGATTGTCGTGCGCGTGAGTCCACCCACACCGCCCTCCGCCCCGAGACGGACCATATTATATACCGACGACTGCAACCCCTCGCCGCCGCAGACGATGACTCACCCGACGACTATCGATTCGGTGTCGGCGGCAACCCAGTTGGGGCCGAAAGTGGTACAAACACATATACATGACACAAAATAATAATAATATACCCTTTTATTTATTTTTTTTCTTTCCAACGATCGTAAGACCAGGGTCCGATCCGCCGAGTCGTCGCCGCCACTGCAACACTGTGTGTATTATTATAATAATATTTGCGATTTTCTTTTTGCCTGGATATTATTTTTACAACCGCAAAATAATCGTTTTAATATAGGCATATTAAGTGTTTTGTTTTTTTTTATTGATTATAGAAAACCCTTATAGTAATAATTTCTTATGGTCATTCTATACGCCTTTTAACATTGAAATAGCTTAGGTGAATCGATTTGGTACGACTTTTGGCAATTTTTTTTTACTAAGATATCGACAACTTTGAGCTATCGGCTCTTGGCGTGTCATTACGCGAATAAAGAAATTCAAATTAAAGAACGTATTTTTTAAGGATTGAAAAAAATCATATATAATATATGTGACCCTTGACGCTGGTCAATGAAGTTGAATATGAACATATTGTATTATATTATGTACTAAAGTATTGAAGTTTGTGAAGAACTCTTTCTAAACTTATATTAGTCTTGGAAAGTCAGTGATAATGTCAAATAATTACAAATGCATATATATATCGAACACATATTAATATTGCAATATTATTATCATACATTATTAGAACAGAGAACCTAGAGACGCATTAATTCTTTAATTATATTAGTGATCAAAAAAAAAAAAAATAGTAAAATTGTTATTTCTTATAGAATTTTCTGTAGAAATATTAGCTAGTAAAAATTTAAAACTACCACTCTAAAGTTTGATCAGTGACAAATATAATTTGTAATCTAAAAAAGTGCTACGTGAAAGTTTTGTACAGCTTTTCTATTGCCCTAAAAGCCATTATAACCCCAAAAAAGCGTATACCCTTTTGAAATCTGAACAAAGTTTGATAAACAATCAATAACGACACTCCCTCAAATCCATTCTAAGTAAGCTTAAGGGATATTTAACTAGCTTCAACATTTTACAAACCGTCCTACATTTTTATGTTTGGCTAAATCCTATAATTTATTGTCCGTAACTATATGAGCTCCGACTAAGGGGGCTCTCCATGCAAAACATTCCATCGAAATAAATTGTGCCTATATATAATATACATAGTTACTATACATAATAATATATGCTGCAACTAAATGCAATGTTACACAGCGTGTAATATTTAAATCGGAAGTGGATAATAGGAGCATAACATAAAAATATACTTTTTTTCAATATCACTGATTGATTTATTCACTATACAATATACATACCTATAATTTTATTATACATCCCATATGACAGGTACCCAAATTTTCTGAATTAATGTGCGGGGTGTATTATAAATATAATATATTATGTGACACGCATTGATACTAGGTTTTCGAATAAAATATTTAAAAAAAACATTTAATAATTAATAATCGCGTGTTGACATCGCGTAGCTAGTAAAAACTATAGTTAGGAAAACATAATGCAAAGTGCATTGAAATCCCAGCCCGAATGATTATAATTTATAATAGTGCATATTATTTGTTATATATATTATTATTATTAGCTTTTGAGTCAGTATCGAATTACCCTAAAATGGAGTCAATAGTTTGATATTAAAGTTGAAAATCTAAGCATTTTTTTTTTACAATAAAAAGTGTCTTCAAATACAAAAATAAAACACACATCAATGTAAAATCAATAGGTACGTTCATCGATCCACTCAGAATCTAAAATGTACAAAATTAATCAAATAAAATAAATTATTTTATAGTTGAATGTGTCATTCAGCAGCTAGGTATATATAGTGCCCTATTTTTCAAAACTGTTCTTATTTTTTATGAATTTGTATCTCTGTTATGACATATAGGTACATATTGTATAACAATATGCTTATTGTTCCTCGTAGTTTGTAAATTTTCTAAATAATAAAGTGAAGAAAATAATCTCATTGCGAGTTCGTGTCGTGTGATTTCCGCACTATAGCCATATACATAAAAAAAAAAAAACTGCTTTGCGTTGTTAATTATGTCACGCTATTTAATTATTATTATTTATTTTCTGTGTTAATTCTCTGCCGTCGCGCTTTATTGTTTCATTCGTTTCATATATTCGTTTGCCTATACTGCTATACCACCCTACACGTGACCGCAATACGTAAATATTTTATATGAAGTTGTACAACACCATCGACCATCGTATTACAACGCCATCACACCTTATGATACACCACACTTCTACACTGGCCCACACACACATAATATTATATATTAAATGAAATAATCTTTGTTCTCCAATCAATCCAGTAATATAATAGACCATGTGCGTGACGTTTTATTTATACAATCTTCTCGACAAGATTTTTGTTTAATTTCGTAGATCGTTTTTATTCGCATAATAATTATGATTTTTACATTGTTATTCTATACCGATCCCGCGCATGCGCTGTATTCTTAAGCGAACAGACTTGGTATAATATTATAGACGTCTTTGTTCGTTTCGGAAAATTCCAATACGAATTGATAAAACCGTATATGCGTATGGCGATTTACTTTAACGACTGTCTTATGTATTTTGTTTTTATGGAAAAACTCGAAAAAAAAAAATTCTGTATACGAATGATGCTACTAACTTCAACTTGAATACCGGCCCTTAAAGGTGTTATAGGGCTACAAAGAGGTATATTCATTTTGATGAATTCGTTTGCGATGATGTCAGGCGGTATATTAGGATATACGTTAGATAAAATTATTATTTTATTCTGGTTGAAAAATTTGAGTAATTTGAACTGTTGTTGTTGTACTGTGATAATTGGGTGATTATCAATTAGATTATTTACTAATCTAATGATAGGAAAATGCATAAGCGACCTTTTGATATACGGGACTCAAATAGAATGTTAGACGGTTGGACTAAATTGCCGATAGCGAAATATTTGTGTGGGACGTTGTCGTCTATATCGATGAATTATGCTTGGTCTTTTTTGGGTATTAAGCTGTTTGCAACAGTTGAGGCGAAAGAGGGTTTGTTGATATCCGTGTTGATAGAGCTGTCTGAAGTGTTGACGTTGGGTGAATTTTTTGGTGGGGACTGATGTACCTAGTGGTTAGGATTGATGTGGTTTTAGTATACTTGGTTTGGGTGTGGTTTTGGGTGTAGTAGTTGGTGACGTTTTAATTTTTTGTTTTTAAAAATTGTTTAATTGAATTGGTTGACGAATAGAGGGACTTTTTTAAGCCGGTGGTTTTGTAAATATTTTAGAGGGTGATGGGTTTATCGTATATATTAGCTAATAGTATGAATAGTGTTTGAAAATTTCATGAAATTTAAAAAAATGAAATATTTCAGTATTTTAATATATTTTGTTTTATTTTTAAATAAGTTTTATATTTACATATAATTGTCATAAATTAGCTTCATCACGCTATATGGTACCTGTATGTATACCTAACCTTTGGTATTATAAATTTAAATTGGTATTCAAAATTTTTAAATATTTTAATGTTAAATGATACAAGTAGGTATACAATATTATATATGTATATTGTATACTTACTGAATTCTGACATTAGAATTTAGAACACTGAACATTGTGTTAAAAAAATAAATAAATAGTGTTTTTATTTGTGTTAAAAAAAATTTCAATGTTTCACGAGTTTTGGTGAAATATTTCTCATACTTCAAACACTATAACTTATAAGTATAAATAACGAGCATATTACCTGTGATATGGAAAGTGTATACTATACTGCTATCGGAAGCTATTAAAATTGGTACTCGTGAAACGCGATAAGTTTCGTGTAGTCTGTACGGAGTCTAACGACGAACTTACGAATAATGCTAATTTTATCTATTTTATATATATATAAATATATATTAAGATCTATATTATAATTCAGCATTTCAGCTTATCGCATAACATATAAAAGAGTATAATAATAATAATAATAATAATGAGATTAATGTTTACAAAGACATATGAAGGACATTTGAATCTCAGGGGATAACCATATAAATGTAGCTTATGCTAACCAAACAAGAATATAAGAATTTTTATACGTTTACAAAGATACCATTAGATTACGGTGGAATTGTAATTTGTTTTATCATTTTTTTAGGAGTAATAAAACTGTATATTATACAAATAGGTACCTATGTGCTACATAAATATCATACATTTGCAGTTCGTTCGGAGACATTACAGTTTTATGAAATTCACGTACATGCGGTTTAATCGATATATTTTTATAAACATAAATATTATAGCGATGGTTTAAAGCTTAAACCTTTGAACGCAAAGACCTTCAAAACAAAATATAGAAACTATAGATGAGTTTCGTTATGTTTGGTGATAATACAGCATTACAGTATAACAGTAAAGACTATATAAATAAAATAATAATATTCTACTGCAGGGTACAATGGTACATATATTGTTTGGTAATCTAAATTACTCTAGTCTTCACTGAATTTTTTAGCTAAAAAAAATAAAAACTCATGTTTTTACTTTCTTACTTGCTGCTTTACATGACCTGGAACTCAAACCCTAAAAAATGTTAACTATGTTTAGAAGTGATGAGATTACATTTTTCTATACGAAAATTAAAAAGATCAGGTTTGTAACCACACAATTTTAATTTGTACAACCTTCCAAACACCGCAGAATACATTATAAAGAAGCGGGTGCCAGCGTAACGTTACTCCAGCACCCGCTTTTTTAAATTCTTAACTTAAATACCCCAAATCTGCGTCAACGAATGTTAAATTATTTGTACAGGTTTGTAACAACAAAATTTTAATTTGTACGACCTCCCAAACACCGCAAAATACATTATAAAGAAAGCGGGTACAAATTAAAATGTTGTGGTTACAAACCTGCACAAATGATTTAACATTCGTTGACGCAGATTTTGGGTGTTTAAGTTAAATTTTTAAAAAAGCGGGTGCTGGAGTAACGTTACGCTGGCACCCGCGTTTTTGTAATGGATTTTTCAGGTGTTTTGGAGGTTGTACAAATTAAAATTCTGTGGTTACAAACCTGCACAAATGATTTAACATTCGTTGAAGCAAATTTCGATTGAAATTTCTAATATGCGGGTGCCAGCGTAACCTAACCTAACTTAACCTAACCTAACCTAAATTATAATTATAATTATTGAACAAGACGAGCAAAACAAAAAGAGAGAAGAGTCATTTTTGAGGGTCAACAATTGGTGGATTTGAAAATAATATAGTATGTTATATAGAGCTGAAAAAATAAAATTAAACCGAAACCGAAATACGAATTATGTGCAATATGAACTACCCAAGTGAAGTAAACACAATTTTTCAAGAATAAATCATCCCCGATAATTAACGCTATTGAGTTTTACAGGACCAAAGGGGAACCTTCAAAACCTTACAACTATTAAAAGACAACGTACCTATAGTATACCTGGTATAGTGGTATAGGATATTGTATATAAGATAACAAGATTAAACGGCTAAACTACATATTATAGAATAGGTATATGTAAATAAATGAGAAATAACTAAGTATAAACTATATGTTTCCATGTATTATAAAAAATAAGGTAAAGCTATTCGGATAGGAAAAAGTGAACTAATGATATGTTAATATATAAAATGTATTACTTATGAGAAATATTATGTTAGTTTTTCAACAGTGTAGAATAATAAATAATGATATGAATAAAAAAAAAATGTAGTATATATACTGAAAGTTATGTCAAAGGAAGTTGCAATTGGTAAATGTATAGCGTACAAGTGTACAGCTTCAAAAACACAAAAAATAAAAGAGAGATTCACAATACTTTGTAGTACTATATGTGAAATAAAAATATCTTTTCTAGTTTTGACAGGATTTATTTTTACTGAAAAAGAAAGCTTCGTGTTACAATTTATAACAATCAAAATAAATCATAAACAACATTTTTACCCATTAAAATAATACCTACTACAATCTACAACTCATGTTCAAATGATAAACAGACAAAAATTTAATATAAATACAGTTAGCGGGGAGTTATTTTTTTAAAAACCTTAATAATTTTATTTTTGGTATTTGGGTTCTATTTTCTATTTCCCAAAATTATGGGTATCGGCCATCGTATTCATTATCATTAGAATGAACTTTACTAACAGTTGTGATTCAAAACTTAGCTCACAAGTCACTAAAAGCATTCTATCTTAATATGTATTTTTTCACATGTATTGAATTTAAAATAACCAAATAATGTATAGGTATACAATAATAAGAAAACTCAAAAAAATAAAATCAGTGAAAAAAAAATAATGAAATGAAAACTGTATATTTAAAACAAACATTTTTGATGATTATTTAAATCAAAAATTGATAGATTCACTGGCATCAAATCACTATTTTAAAAAATGACAGTTTTATTTTAATTTTGTAAAAATAATAACAACTATCAATATTTGAGTTGTTGTTCTAATTATAATTGTTTTTATTCATAATAATTGATTGTTTTTTTTTTTTTTTTGTAATACTTTAATAATATAATGAAATCGATAGCCGGTAAAATCAACATAATAAAAAAATGACAGTCGGAATTGATTTTAAAACGATGGAATCAATAAAATATGTACCTATGTCAACTGTCGATATCTGTGTTATAACTTAAAAGCCGCCGGGTGTAAATTTATAAAAAAAATAAATAAATAAAAAACCTCTTTCGAAAATATAAAATGACCACTTCCTCCATAGTTTAGTTTATTTTTCATATTAGGTGTATAATAAATCTTATGAAATAATACCCTCTTCAAATAAGTTTATCAAGCTCTGCTAATGTTCACGAAATACCACACATTTCTTCATATTTCTGTTTTTAAAATCCCAACTCCTTACTTTCTCTACAATTTCTTAAATAGTCATCATCACTACCTATCCCGTATCCGAATGAAATTAAAATCAAGTTTGTTATTTCTGATTTTCTTTAAACATAGGTAATACATTATTTGAATGATATATTATTATGTTGACATAATATAATTATAATATATTAGTCACTATATTGAGATTATATTTAATAAATACGCTGACATATATTAATGTTCAATCGGAATTACTATAATCGAATGGACACATCGAATTAATCAGTTTAATTATGAGTAGAATAATTGTAATTCCATATATTTTACTCTACCTCATAAATCATAATGTCAGCATATAAAGTATAAAAGTATAAACATTTAAAAATGTATTTACATTTTACATACTAGTTATTATCATATATATTATTACAATCGGTAATTTAATTATCAATATAATAAATTGTCACTGTATACTGTATAATGTATAATGTATTAATGTGGATGTTAATACACTGATATATCTGTATAGTAATACAATCATTTTATATCGCACCATTATTATTATTAAAATTAAATTAACATTTATTCATACAAACTAACGATGATTATATTATCACGACCAAGGCAAATAGTGAGTCTGCGTGACTGCGTGTAGTAGGTACTATATTTAATATTACTATATTATTACGTACCTACTCCATTCTTCTTAGACATACCCAGTGTGACCTTTTATATTAAACTCTGGTACCATTTAATTTCTTCAAAATACGGTATTATGACTCTGATACTCTGATCTAACAACATCAAATCTATATAGTTTAAATTGTGTGTTAATTTATTATATCCTCGAAGTTCGTCAATAACAAATTATACCAGAAGAATTGGATCTATTTCAAAACTTTCACCATTACAGATTTAAATTACAAAACAGGTGAGAAATATTCATACATTTATAAATTGAATAATATTTACATTGCTATCCTAAATATTATAGCACTATCAATCTCTTATCGAAACATCCAGACATCCTAAATTATTATATTGAGATAAATGTAACGAGACTATAATAACCTATAGTCTCCTTACAGGGATGGATCCAGGAGGGCCTAGGGACCCAGGCCCCCCAGATATATTATTTCTCCGATTTTCGTAGATTTTTACATAAACATTGACCATTTTAGAAAAAGCAACAATATGAAAAGACGTTTGGATTTTATTATTTAATTTTATATAATATCATTAATTTATTTATTACACTAA